GTGGCTCAAGCCAGCCGGAACCACTGAATTCAAAATCAGAGCCGCCCGGCAGCAAGACATACAAATTACAGTCCCTATGGCCCCATGCTTTTTTCTTTTTTTTTTTTGAGACAGAGTCTCACTATGTAGCCCAGGCTGGCCTCAAACTCACAGTGGTGCACCTGCCTCAGCCTCCTCAGTACTGGGATTACTAGCATGTGCCACCATGCCCAGAACATGTTACACTTCTTAACCTCTTTTCCTCAATTGCATTTCCTACCTCACATTTCCTACCTCTAAAATGAAGGGCTAGATCAGGAATCCTCTGTGATTCTTTCCAGGTGTTTCTTTTAACCCCATCCAGAGCACCCAACAGGATACATTTTTTTCTAAGTCATTCTGCTCATGCCAGTGTTTTGGCTTGAAAGACAAAGGGTCCAGAGTCTTCTTCCCTTTCTCAGAGGCAGGAGGACCCCTTGCAAGAGCATTTTGGATGCTTCTTTGCTTCCCTCCTAGGCCATTATGAAGGAAGTCTCTGGAACCTGCTTAATTATTGAGGCAGCAACCAAATGATGTGGAAGTTTGGCCAAGGATATCTTGATGTTTCTGGCTTGTTTTCTTAATTCAGTTGACTCTAGTTCCCAATTTCTACAGACATAAACCTGACTGTACTTGTAGACTTTGCAGAGCTCCAAGGTAGGAGGCAGGAGAAGATTTCTGAGCCCTGCCCAGGAGGTGGAGCTGGGCAGCTGTAGGCACCCACACCTGGGCCAAGGCCCTGGCTCCTAAGGCAACCTCTCCACACAAAGCTCTGCCTCTGAATGTCCGCACACACAGGCCACCACCACCCCCACCCACCCAGACCTGAGGTGGGTTAGAGACTTCGAAGGTCATGTTAGGATTAACATGGCTGGGGGAAGATGGTCTTAATAAATGCTTCAAGTCATTCTGATGCTGAGTCTGTGCTTTTCCTGAGTTCCTGTCCAGGAATCCCTGGAAGCAGGAACAGAGACTAACCTGATGGAGGAGAGTGTATGGCACATGAGAAACCCAAACCAGAGTTTCCACAATGGTGCCAAGAGCTTTTGCAAACACCCCCCTCCAGCATTTGTGACTCAAGTGGCAGTCTTCTCTGTAAGGGAGGAGCCAGGATGTATTTGTTATTTGTTCTGTTTTAAATTCCCACCTTGCAAATAAGTGTTAAAATACAGTTACTCTACTTAGCACTTTTTTTTTTTTAACCAACCTGCCCTTCCCCTAGGCTTCTCTGTCAGAAATAAAGTGATTGTGAGACTGCATTCCCACCATTCTCTCATCCCTTTCTAGGCCCTTTGACCAACCTGGGATCATCTGCTCATACTTCCTCTGCCTTCCCCTTGGTGAATTCTAACATTCTTAGAGTCCCATTCAAAAGGACACTTTGTGGTCTTCCTGGAGACAGTTTTTATGATGATGTTTTTAACAACTGTAGGAAATTTCAAGATGTATATAGACGATCCCCGGTACCAAAAAAAAAAAAGATGTATATAGAAAAAATCATGATGATATTATTGTTCACAAAATTTTAACATTTGAATTAATTGTATATGTATAATTGAAATTATACATTTTGCAATGTTTGAATACAAGACAGAACTTATAATAAATATATCCTACTCTTTTCCACACCCGGAAACCAATCACTTCACAGTTGTAATCATGTGTTCTTAACTAAATATTACAAGCCTTTCCTTACGTTGTTAACCTTCAAAAATAGGATTATTTTAAATACAACATAAGCCATTACATGTTTGAACTATTATCACTTTCCCTACTATTTCTCATATTTATTTCCCCTTTCTCTCCCTTCTCCCTGAATTCAAATTCACTTCAAAATCATGTGACTTCTCTCTTCCACAGTTTACAGAATCAGCAAATGGAGATAATAATTATTTTCAACTTACAAGGTGTTATAAGGATTAAATGAGCTGATATAGAGGCTAAGGGAGTAGCTCAGTGGTAGAACATATACTTAGCATGTTTCTATCCCAGCATCAAAACAGTAATATTTAACATACAATTTTTACAGGGACAAATCCTACTGTACTTATAGAGTAAGTCTAAGGCAGTTAGCTCCATAACACTTACTATGTTAGCTACTATCATTTATATAATATAATTTCTAAATATTTATTTGTTTTCATTATAGAATTAATCAGTAACTCTCATAAAAAGGAAAACAATAAAAAAATAAAAAAGCATAAAACTTATTTCATAGGCACGATATACATATTATATACACCAAACTGTTAATCATGGATAGATAAGAAAATAGAATTATTAGAGACTAATTTCTCCAATTTTATATACTTTTTTTAATTCAAAAGGATTCCTCATGTAGATATATGTGTGTACATATGTGTGTATATAGACACATATTTTGAAATTTGATTTTCTTACTTTATGATATATTTTAGACTTCTCTCCGTGTAAATAGTAGATTGATTTTTGCTCTGCTCTTTTTGATGGCTGAATGGCTACTGTATGATTGTGCTGTGATTTGTCTGATCATTCCTTTATTGATGAGGTTTTCTTCCAACATTTTTGCTACATCAAACAATGCTGTAGTGAGCATATTTACTTGTATCCCTGTGTGCACTTATGGGAGCTTTTCTATAGAAATTCCTCTAGTGGAAATACTAGCTGGGTGAGTATGCAGATCTTTAAAGGATTTTTATACTGTGCTCATTGCCAGATTGCCTGCACAAAGGTCACACCAATTTAACTCCCACCAGTGGTATGTGACCTCTCATGTTTTCCCACCTGGAAGAAGGAAAACAATGTGATGCATGTCATCCTGCACTTTAATCTCTGTCAGTCTAAGAGATGTAATCTATGTGCAGTTGTAATGGTATTTCTTTGTCATTTTAATTTTCTTTGACTAGTAGTGAGGTTAAAACCATTTCCTTATGGTCAGTGATCATTTATATTTCTAGTTAAAATCTCCTGCTCACTGTCTTTTATTAGCATGTTTTTCTTTTTCCTCTTTTTTAAAACAATGATTTGTAAGTACCTTAACCTATGAATGTAATAAATCTGTCTAGCATATATGTTGCCCCTATTTTCTCAACTGCATTGATTTTTTTTTTCCAATCTTTTGTCTTGCTCCTCTTCAGACTGGATAATTTCCACTAATCTATCTTCAAGGTTATTCTTTTTTCCTCTATCTTGGTAATTTTTTTTTTTTTTTGGCACCAGGGATCGAACTCAGGTCCTTGTGCTTGTGCAGCAAGCGGCGAAATCACTGAGCTAAATCCCCGGCCCTCTTTCCTTATCTTAATCTCTGCTGATCCACTGAATTATTTAATGTCAGATGGTTTTTTCCAGTTAAAATTTCTTTTTTATTAGTTTTAATGTTATTTTGATTATTTTTAAAATTTTTATTAGTGTATCTTTGCAGTACATAATAATTACATTGATTGTGGGGAGTTGGTATGTGTATATTACACATCATAATTCTATTTCCAACCCCTTCTCCTCTCCCTCCCCCTCTTTCTTTACCTTGGTCCCTTTCCCTTTTGCAAAAAGTCTATTTCCCTGTTTCCTATTTTCTGTCTTTTTTTTTTTTTTGCAGTTTACTTTATTTATACTTCGGGTTTTTCACATAAGAGAAGTCATACAATATTTAAGATTTTGTGTCTGATTTATTTCACTTAATGTTATGGCCTTGAGGTCCATTCAGTACCAATTAAAAATTTCTATCTAGTTTTAAAAAATATTTTGTATTCCTCTGCCAAGAGTTCTCTTTTCATTCATTTTGAACCTATTTCCCTTTACTTCATAGAGTATACTTATAGTTGCTACTTTAAAATTCTTGTCCAATAATTCCAACATCTAAATTGTTTTAAGGTTCATCTCTGTTGATTGTCCTTCCCCTTGAGGACATGTCACATTTTTCTGGTTCTTTGTGTGTGGAGTGATTGTACCCCGGACAATGGATGTGTCAGTATTCTGTTGTTTTGTTTTAGCAGTTGACCTCAGATAGATTCACACTACAAACTACAGTAGCTCCAGCCTCAGTTCAGGACTTTCATCTCCAGCTGGCCTACTTGTAGTCTGCCTCATTACATGTATGGCTCAGGGATCACCCAGAGGTTTGGGCAGAGTTTATAAACATATTTGGGGCTCCTCTTCCCTAACTCTCTTTCCAGAACACTCCCCTCAACTCTTCAGCAACCCTAGTTAACTCAGGCTCTATTTTGGGACTCAGGTCAGAAAGATGCAGCTGTCCTCTGACTGTGGCCTATCCTTGGGGCAAAGCCACAGAAAGTGAACTCACCCCCTGCTGCATGCTTCCTCCATGTTTTGACTCACCTCCAAAATCTCCCTGATTTATTCCCTCTCAGCTAGTTGTCTTTTCTATTTTTTTTCCAGAGTTTACTGCTACATGTGAAGGAGTCTGTTAGGCATCAATTCAGACCCCAACCAAGAGGCTATGTGGCTCTTATTCAGACCCATCACTCCTGCTGCAACCTCATCCATCTTTAGCCCCCACCAAGTAAAGACATGTCTCCCAGGGAGACACAATCCAGAGCAAAAGCTGGGTGGGTCTACCTGCTGGGTGGCTCCACTGTTTTGCTTCTCAGAGAAAGAGTAGATGGTAGGTAAAGCTTTGGCTTTGGAGTTAGGCATATCTGGGTCCAGACTTTGCCGTTGTTAGCTGCTTAATGTCTCTGAGCCTCAGTTTCCCATATGATGAAGTAGGCCTAAACATAGTCACCATTTCACAGTCTTGTGAGAATTTCCATGAAACAGTGCTCTCCAGCACTTAACACAATAGCTGGCACAGGGTTAACTCACCCCACAAGGATCAAGGTGCTGTTCTCTCCAGTCAGCCACCCCCCTTGCTGTGTGATTTTGGGCAAGCTCTGCAGTCTCTGGTTCTGCCTGCAGGAATTTCCATGTCTGGAACGAAGGCTGGTTTGTGCGGAATGACCTGGGCCCCTCATACAATGGATGGCAGGTGTTGGATGCTACTCCCCAGGAGAGGAGCCAAGGTAAGCCTCTGCTGGGCTTGGCTTTAGCTTGGCTCCAAGTCATGAGCCTCTGTGATCTATAGTAGGAGAGCAGCACAAGGAGCTAACCCAGACCCTTACCATCTCTGCAATATGCTGTGAGGTTAAAACCAAAACTTTTAAAAATAGATGTCCCCCCTGGTTTGGTTTGGCTCCAGATGCTATTAATATGGAGGGGAGGCCTGCCCTGCACTCACTCTGGCTGCTGCTCCTCTCCCACAGAGGCTCAGCCCATGCCAGAGGTTGGAAATAAGCCTTTCCCTGCCAGTAATGATCTTCCGGCACTGCCCCAAGCAGCTGCCCCTCCCAGGCAGTTTCTACCTCATGGCTCCCGTTGGCCCATGGGCTTTAGTCCATAGTGGCTGCTCTGCCCAGAATTATGGCCTACCGGGGCTCCTCCCTTCCTGAGTGTCCTCTGCCAAGCCAAGCTTTCCTTGGGCAGGTCACCTTGCCTCTGTCTTCCCTTTTTTAGTAGGATGGAATCTCAGGCTCTCCAGGAGCCTTACCTCTCCTCTGCCCCCTAGAGCATGTCTGGTCTGTCACTTCAATTTGAGTTGTTTTTTTCAAACACACACACACACACACACACACACACACACACACTATGCACACATAGTTTTAAAAGGAGTTAACAATGAAACTTGAGTCTAACCTCACCACATAACCCTTAGCTCCTCTACCAGAAGCAAGATGCATTACCAGACTTGGGGTTGGGAGTCACCTTCAGATACTTTCTAGCCCACTGTTTTTTAAATATCCCATTGCAACCCATTAGTGCTTATACAATCAAGTTAATGGGTTGTGACCATCATTGTAAGAAATGAAAATGAAATAGAATGGAAACAAAAACAATAAATTATCGGGGTGCATTGGACCTAATAAAACTAAGTATTGTCCTGTGAAATTTTTGTTTCAGTATTACACATGTTCCAGGACAGCAAATGTATTTCTTTCTAAGGATCACAGCCAAACAAAAAAACAAACAAACAATAAGTCACTGTTTCAAGCACGTAAAAAATTGTGTGGGTGTTTAAACAAAGAGTTTATTTATTTTGTAAACATAATAGAATAATCTTTCTATACTGCTACACCTTGCTTTCTTTCAGCTGGACACATCCTGAGTGAAACTCTATCTCTCTATCTCTTTCTATCTATCTATCTGTCTATGTATCTATCTATCTATCTTCTATGTAAGCTACCAATGCTGAGTGCTATAGGAGCAAGGTGAAGGTCAGGCCTTGGGTGCTTGGAGAAGCAAGAGGTCCTGTGGGCTGGGTATTCAGGGAAGTCTTCCAAGAGTAATAGGGCAATGACTTTCTAGGGTAGAATGATTTGCAGAGGTAGAAAAAAGGAAGCTGTTCTGAATATAGATAGCAAGACTTTGCTCTTTAGGAAACAGACTGGCAGCAGTGGGTCAGCTCAGTTTAGGTAACCTGGGGAGGCAGAGTGGAGCCAGTTCTAGGTAGAAATGGAGCTGTACCTGGGTGCCATTGCAGAAAGATAGCACTGGGAGGGTATCTACTGAATGCCAGATGAGACAGCCTGGCCAGGATGGAGACAGGGATTGATATGGCCAAGTGGATGGCCCTCAGGAAAGCAGGCCATGAGCAGGCTTTTGTGCATAGGCCTAGCCTTGGCATATGTGTGTCCAACCTCCACACCTCCCACCAGGGGTCTTCCAGTGTGGCCCCGCTTCAGTCATCGCAGTCCGAGAGGGGGATGTGGACCGGAATTTCGACATGCCCTTCATCTACTCGGAGGTCAATGCTGATCGCATTACCTGGATCTATAATGCTTCCAACGGTACCCAGAAGCAGAACTCCATAGATACTCGGTCGGTTGGCAGGTACATCAGCACCAAGGCAGTGGGCAGCTACTCTCGCATGGACATCACAGACAAGTACAAGTACCCAGAAGGTAGGAGGGGTGATGACAGGGTGGTGCCCCACAGGGCTCAGTGGTGGGTGGGTGGATTTGAGAGTGGAAAGAAAAGGACTCATCTCCACCCTATCAGATCCCTAAGTTCTCAGTTCTGCCCAAATGGGAGGATGGCTCCCTGGTGTCAAACACCCAACTGCTCTGCTTTCAGTGGGTACAGAAAGATCAAGGGCAGCTGCCATGCCAGCAGCAGTGTGCAGTAAGGGACAGAAAGCTGTCAGCCCAGCTCATCTCAGTTGCAAAAAGGGGTGACAGCAGCACGAATGGACATCACACAGAGAGACAAGGCCCCCATGGGAGGTTCCAAGGGTTTGGGGAGATATTTCTCCATCAATCAGCTTTTCTAGCCTCCAAGAAACAGAGGCAGAAAATACCATTTGAACAAAGAAATGGATGAAGAGGCCCAAAGATGTGGGCTTGTGCCATGTACATTTGGAGCTCCCAAGAAGCCAGGTGAGCTGTGATTACATAGGAAGACAAATTCCCAAGTCCCACCAGCACTGGTTCCCCAGGGTCACCTTGGAAGGCCAAGAGCTATGAAGCTGCCTTTACTCTATCATTTTTACTCAGAACTTGTTTTGGGAACCAGCCACACAGTAGTCTCATTGGTGACAAAAGTCTTTCATTTGAAGGTGAAGTTCATTTTTAGAAACAGCCCAAAGTAATTTAGCACTTGCTCTACCAGGACATGGTCACTCTTTAATGGGGTCAATAGTTTACTGTTTCCAAAATTCTTGAAAATCATTGATTTATTTTCTCCTCACAGTCAGTTCCAAGGAGTCAATAAAAATACATTACCCCCTAAAACAAACTCTCTTTGAGCAACTTCTGGCTGTTGGTGTTGGCCAGAGCTTTCAAAAGAGGAAAGCTGAGGAGAGGAGATGGGGTCTAACTCCAAGGCCAAGGGGACGGTCCCACTGGGTGCTGGTATTTCAGGACATTTTGAGGCACAACTGTTGGGTAATGAGATTGGCGACCTCAGTTTGACCCCCTTCTGTCTCTGCAGGCTGCTTCCAGGGTTGAAGTCAGATGGACCTTGTCCTAATCAATAAACAAGTGTTGAGCCTGTCAACCTAAAAAAGTAATCAGAATGAGAGTCTCCAAAATATAACTATTTATTTGCAAGCAGCAGAACATTGCAATGGAAATGCACCACACTAGTAAACTATAGGCATATTCACGGAGATTGAAGCAAGGAGACAGTTCTAAAGAGAAAAACGGAAGGGTTACATCAGATATTTTGAGACAGTAATTTTTGGCCACAGTGATTAATAGCCAGGGTAACATCAGTCCAAGGTTCAACAACCAGTTGCTAGGCAGATGTCCTTGGAGAAGTACTTTTTGTGTAAGGTTGTGGCAGTCTCTGTGCAAGTTTGTGGCTCTAGAAGAGTCTTTTGGAATACTTACTATGAAGCAGTCATGTGTAAGAACCCTTTGTTCTAACCTCCTGGTTTTATTTATTTTTATTAAGGCTGACCCAAGTGACTCCATTTTGGCTCTCACAACTTTCACAAGCTTCACCCAAGTGTCTGCTCCAGGCTGGGCCCTGGGAATGCAGCAGAGAACACTGCAGATGGGCCTATGGGGGAGGCAGGCATAGAACAAGTATGTTCAACTACAAATATAAGCCGCAGGGAACAAATTAACTGGGGCAGAAGGTGAACACCAGCCTTACCATTTAGAACTGTGCAACCCCAAGCAGGTTTCTTGTGGCCTCTGACCCTTCATTTCCTTGCCTGTGAAACTTGACTAGCAATGCCTGTCTTCAGTTGGATTTCAATGCACAAATGCACACAATGTGCCAAGTGAAATGTCTGGCACATAGCTAGGACTTAAATAACAGAGTGATCTTTATCCATTTGAACATCTGCAGCATACCTGGATTAATGCCTTCCCAAGGTGACTATTTTGCAGGCCCTGTCTACCTGGATATATGAGCCTGTGAGTTTTCCTATCATTCTTACACATTGATGCTGCTTCTAGGGGGCTCTGGCCATCCCAGCCACACCTCCTGAGTGACAGAGAAGGGTAGGGGTGGAGTGGCCCCTGCAGGACTCCTGGCAATGCTTCAGCCTCTGCATGATGGCTGGACAGGTCAGCTGCTGATGGTACCTAGCTCTTCTTACTTAATTGTACCAGCTTGTCTCAGAAGGCCCCAGGGAGAAAAGCTTGTAAAATGGGTTGCTAAGCATTTATGCAATCAACATCATGGTCAAAAACAAAAGCAGGAAGTTTAGTCTTGAGTAAGCACAGCAGATGACCTATATAGGCATCCAGGCTCTGAGCCTCATTGTGCAAACACACTGGGTCGAGGTCCTGAGCACTGGAGTCTCAGATCCCTGCACAACCATCAGCCCTGGCCGTGGACTTACACCTCGACCAGAGAATGGAGGGGCACCCAGAGGAACCCAGCCCACCAGGAGCCCTCAGCTCGGGTAACCTGGCTGCCTCCTTATAGTAGGGAGTGGGGAGGAACCTTACACTAGGGCTCCAAGCACCTGGGGACTGGCCCCTCCCCGCTTGCATCTAATCCCCAGAGTGGCTCCAGGCCAGCTGCTTCTTCTTGAACCTGATGGATTTGGCCCCTGAAGTCTCAACCAGGTGTTATACGTAACTTGGGGAAGGGCTTGCTGAATTGTAAAGTGCTTATCATAAGTTGTCTGGTACCTTGGAAAATTCACAAATTGGCTAGGGAAGCCAAGGGACCATCCCTAAGGCCTTCAGGTATAAATCCGGTCCTTCCTCCAAGGTTCTTGGACATTTGGCCCAAGCACCTTCTCCATCCTCATGCAGATCTGTTTTCAGGTCAAGGCCAGGAACTTTGTGTGAACTGCTTAGTCAGCCTGGAACAGAGACTTTGCAGTTGGTCACTCAGTAGTTAGTGCCCCACAGGCCTTTTCAGGGACCATCGCCACCAGGGCTCTTCGTGGGCTCCTCACACCTCACCTTCGCAGCACCTGCAACTCGAGTACAAGTCCAAAACCCATGCATTAATTCAGTCCTTGCATTTTTGAACCCTAAAATCTCTTGACAATTCACACTGCTCATAACTTGGAGCCATTCCAGCTATGGAGACCTTGGTCCCTCGCTACCTCTCGTAATACCTCTAGGCAAGGGCAGGGGTAGGTGAGGATGTGTTTTGACGTTTTTTAACAAAGTCAGTTTTAAATCAAACCTTGTTTTTGCTTATGAATTCATCTTAAAATTTAGCAGCTCAGTTTTTGTTATTTGTTTTTAAATGATCTTTGGTTCCTTAAGTCTCATAATAGACTTATCATCGAAAAATTAAAAGTAAAAAACAATCAATCAGTCACTTGCCTGGAGCAGCTTGGTGGCTCAACCATAGAGTAGTCCCAGTTCACCCTTCCTAGCAGGGCACTGTCCTTTGCCCAAATTGCTGCCACATCCCTGAGATCCTTCTTTCTTTTCCCAACACACAGATTCCAATGAGGAAAGACGAGTGCAAGAAAAGGCCTTGAGCAAACTTAAACCAAATCCATCATTTGGCGCAACATCTGCAGAGGACTTGCCAAGAGAGGAACGGGCACCCAGCATCTCTGGGAGATTCAAGGTGAATGGTGTATTGGCAGTGGGCCAAGAAGTCAACCTAGCCCTGCTGCTCAAAAACTTGGCCAGTGATAGGAAGACAGTGACAGTGAACATGACAGCCTGGACCATCGTCTACAATGGCACACTTGTACATGAGGTGTGGAAGGGCTCTGCCACAGTATCCCTGGACCCTGAAGAAGGTAACTTGAGCTATAGTTGGTGAGTCCATGTGTGTGAGGTAGTAAATAGACTGTTGGGACTGGAGGGTTCCTGGCAGACTCCAGGACACCCACTGACTAGGGTCAGAGCAGTGACAGCCTCAGTGGTTAAGCCTTGGGTTTTATATTCCAGAAGTTACTGACTCTATGAATAGCACAAGTCATGGTGGCTCCAACCAAAATCCTTTTAAGCCCTAGAAAAGAAAGGAAGGAGGGTTTGTCATGGCCTGATAACCCTACAGCTGTACACTACCCTGAAGTCTTTACAAACTACCTCACTTGACCTTCTAAAAAGGGTGGATTTCAAGATCCATATTATATAGGCAGAAATGAGGCTTAGAGAGATTTGTAACTTGTTTCAGAGATTAACTGTCATACCTAGTAATTGGCAATGCCCAGGTCTTGGTTTCCTGATGGTTAATCCAGCACCACCCTGTGTTTGCTATTTGTGTTGCTGCCAGACCTCCCACATGCCGCCCCGCCCCCACCTCCCTTCACCCCACAACCGACCAGTTTGGTTTTGGCCCTGGATGGGCTATAATATACAACGGGGTCATGATTCCTGGCCCAGTGCTTCCCCACAGCTGCCAGGATGTGAGTGGAATTTCTTGATTCTTGACAACAGAGATGGATTTTCTTGAAGATCTGAGCACTTTGGAGGAACAGCAACTCCTTGCCTCAGAGTAGCAAAGAAGGGAAGGGAAGGAGGTGGAACAGAAGAAGATGGATGCTGTGGGATTAGAATGCAGGTGCGCCCACATTTCAGGCTGTTATGAAAAGTTTGGGCTTAAAAGCAGATTAATAAGGGTAGGGTGACTATTTGCCTTACATAAAGGAACAAATAGAAACTGATTAATTATACAGCCCATCTCAAAAAAATTCTACACTTGATCTTACCCAAAAGGCCACGAAGTGATATCTTGAAAAAATTCTGTCAGCCAGAGAAATTGAGATGTGTTGCATTGTCAGTAGGCAAATCCCCTAGCAGTCTGCCTTCTGGCAAAATTTTGGCAGAAATCTCAAAATAAGAAGCAATTGCCTGACTACTATTTACTTTTTCTTTTTTTTTTTTGGTACTGGGAAACGAACTCAGGGCCTAGTGCTTGCCAGGCAGGCACTGTGCTGCTGGGCTACATCCTGGCCCTACTATTTACTTTTGAAGCTCAAAAGAAGAGCATTTTTCCCCTCGTGCTGAGGATTTAACCCAGGGCCTTGCACATGCAAGGCAAATGCTCTACAATTGAATATGGCCACTGTTCCTCCTCTAGCCAAGCAAGAGCTTATTTCTGCAGGCCAAAAATAATCCTTGTGAAGGAAATTTTTTAAAAAATCCCTTTGCATGAAACAGCAGAGTGAAATGAAAAGCAGGAGGGGAAGCAGGTGAAGTAGTCCTGGGGCCCTGACGATGTCATGTACTTTGCTGGGTGACCTTGGATGTGTCTCCTTCCCTTTCTGAGCATCAGGCCTGAGCTGAGAGGGTCTAGCCACTGGGAGGGCTGGACCAGCTGGAGCAAGTGTCTGTCTTTTCTACATTAGAAACAAGCACAGCAAATTCCTCCAGTACTATGAGCAGAGGCAGCTTCCTCCTCCCAGTCTCACCTCTAGGCCACCCAGCATAACCACCTGAGGGAGAGCAGAGCCCAGGACCAGCAGAAGAAGAACAGGGCCCTGTGGTGTACATGTCAGAAGATGAGAGGCTTCAAAGCCTGGAGAGGACCCAGGCATAGGGAGAGAAGGTGGAGGAGGCAGTGCCATGTGAGCGAACCTGCCAGCCAAAGGGTAGAGGGCACAATGAGCAGTGCGGCAGGTTCTTTAAGGGGAAAGGTGAATAGGGCGCAGATGATGTGGGGCCAGGTTAGGGCCTGCACTTTACCCCTAAGGTAGTGAGGAGCCATGGAAAGTTTTTGTCATGACTTGGAATAGGAAAGACATAATTTAGAAAAATGCATTGTCTTACAAAGCTTTGTCTACTGGTGTGGGGGTGATTCGGAAGCAGCAGGGCCCCAAGGTGGGATGCTACTTGGAGATGCTGCTGCAATAGAACCCCAGGGTATTTGATGACTGGGAAGATTCTAAACATTTATTTAGCCAATGCCCTGCCTTCCCTTCCTAGTTATTACTATGTTGTCATCGTTATTGTTAATGCCATTAGGCAATGTTTCCCGGAACTGGGAGAAGCCGCTTACCACAGTCCCTGGAAGCTTATACTTTGAGGAGTCTCCCCGGCCAGTTTGAGTCCTGGTCTCTCCTTCAGTCCCTGCTCTGGAGTCCACTCACAACAGGACCTGGCCCAAACAGGGGTCAGTCAAGCCCTCAGGCTGCAAGTGCTCCTGCCAGCTCTCCCTGGCTTGACATCAGCTCTGAAGAGAATGAGCACTTTCTCACTCTCCATCCATCCCCTGGCTTCTCCTTACAGAAGTGCAACATCCCGTGAAGATTACGTATGCCCAGTATGATAAGTACCTGAAGGCAGACAACATGATCCGGACCACAGCTGTATGCAAGGTGTCTGATGAGGCTGAGGTGGTGGTAGAACGGGACATCATCCTGGACAACCCCACCTTGACCCTGGAGGTAAGGGGTGCCAAGGGTGCCTCCCCTAGCAAGTCCAGTCCCCAGGAACTCACTGGCCCCTGTCACCTGCAGCTCTGCTAGACCACAAAAGAAATCTTTTCCTGCTGGGAGGGCAGAGAACTGGGCTCTGAGTGGACCTAGCATCAACCAAGTGGATCTGCTCAGGCCAGAGCTCTTGCTCCCTTCTGGCAAGATAAATGGGCACATTTGCCTGGCAGCTTCTTTGGCTCCCATTCTAGACCCACTGGGGATATCGCTAGAGCCAGGCTGGAAGAAAGGACCCTCTCTCTGGCCCATTCACCCACTTGCTCAGCTGCTGAGCATGGGCTGTGTTCTGTGCTGGCACAGGTTGTGGTTGGGGTCCATGGCGATCGCACGTGGCCACAGCCACCATTCATGGAACAGATCAGAAGTGGGTATCACTCGCCCGCACCTCCCACTCTCTAGAACCCAGGAATGCAGAATCATGGCCTCCTAGGAGCCTAGTCCCAGGCCTTTCACACCTGAGTAAACCAAACTCAGAAACATGGGAGCAGTCTGTTACTGCCAGAGCCAGGGCTAGACCTCAGGCCCCAGAATCCCAGCCGTGCCCTTTCTAAGTCACCCAGTCACCAGCAATAACATCTTCAAAGTGGTTGAGTCTAAGGACTCCTCTCCCAGACTGCCACCCAAGCATGCAGGGGTTTGTGAGTCTGCAGGAGGCCCCAGGTGCCGCTCTATCCCTTCCTCAGCACTAGCAGGAGCACCCATGTGCCTCCAAGCCCATTCTTCACCTTCCAGCCCCTGGGCCCCACCCACCAGCCCAGGCCCAGGCAGCACATACCTGAGGGGAAAAGGACTGGACAAGGGCAGAAAGGGCAGACAGGTGGTGGGCAGAGAAAATGTTATCTTCCCTTCCCAAAAGGCCCATGACCCAGTGCTCCCCCATCTGCCATGTCTACCACCTGCCTTCACTGGCTGTCCTATCTAATCCACTGCTGGCTTCCCAAACACACCATTGCTGGAGGAGCAGGGTAATTGCTATGCCCTAACTGCCAGGGTTCCTGATTTAGAGGTCAGGGGGACCTAGGGTACTCACTCTGATGTGGTGTCCTGTTCTCTCCTACAGCTGGTCTGTGATGAGCCTTTTCACTGTGCTAGTTATTCTGGTCTGTGCTTCAGGATAGGGGTGGTTTTATCTCAGAGGCTAGTGATCCAGGGTCTGGAGAGCCAGTGTAGGAACAGCAGAGAGGGACAGTCACTCTGACCTTGGGCAGTGCAGCCAAATGGACTAAAAGGGCAAATGGTATTTATCTATGCCCCAATATTTATCAGCACTGACACTGAGCAAGTTCTTTAACTTAGTCTCAGCTGCTCCAACTCTGTCATGGAATAAGGTGCTTCCTTGGCAGAGTGTCACATTTCCTGACCCCCCCCCCCAAATCAGGCCTGATCCCATATATACCCTGAGAACCTTCTGTCCTCTTCCTTCATGGCATTTTCCCAGCTGAGATCATACCTTCACATGTGCAGTGATTTGGTCCCTACCTGGCTACAAACATCAGGAGGGCAGCTGCTGCCCATGTTGTGGGCTCATCACTGTCTCCCCTGCACTGTACCTTAGTGTAGGCAGCCACAGTGTACTTCATGGATCATGATTGGAACAGAGCTATTGGCTCTCCCGGAGGAGAGCTGGCATTGTCATTGCTTCTGTGTCCCCTCATGGTGCACCATCTCCCACTTCACAAGGAATTCCCAAGAACACTCCCCATTTCTGAGGACACAATGGGCAATTGAGTGTCCATTCTAACATGTGAAGCTAGGAAATGACACTGGGTATTGGCCAATTCAGTTATGAAAATATTCGCCTTAAAAATGATCAGTGTTTAAAGAAGTTAAATTTTCCTGTTATGTTTTCTTATTTAATAACCTCAAACCTCCTTATCCCCCCCTTTTTTTTTTTTCGTACCAGGGATTGAACTCAGGACCTCGCTCTTGCCAGGCAGGCGCAGTGCCACTGAGCTACATCCTGGGTTCCCATTATCTTTTATTCAACACTTTTGCCCTACATCTTTCAGATTTCCCTATCAAGTCTACTTTATCTCTAAAGATCCCATAATACCTTTAGAAAGGAAATCAGAGCACACATGGATTAAAAATAGGCTATTGTGAAATTTCTTGTTTAATCTTTATAAAATATACCTGGTCTCCCTTCTTTCAGGCACATTCTCTATTCTACTTAAACCTCTGAAGAACTGAGACATTCTTGTCTTGACTGAATGAATCAATGCATAGCTCACTCCGAGCAGGGCACAGGATTTTAAATTAATGAAGGTGATCTGTATGAATAGAAAACAAAAAATTGGGGTAAAATCATATTGTCTCATCTGGCACCAATTGGCAGTTAGCATTGAGGACCTTACACCATGGAATCAGAGGTAAAATCTCAACATCGTCCCAAAGGGTGACGTCCTTCAAATCCATGACCTGTGATCCTCGTACTATCCTTTGGCTACATTTATGGATTCAGGCCAATAGAAGAAGCCAATAATCAACAATAAGGAACAAAAGCAAATACATAGAAGTCTCAAATATGAACACAAAAAACATGGCACCATTTATGTGCTTTATTATATCTCAATAGCATAATGTTGTTTACTCTAAAAGTTACATTATGCATATAAGTGAGGTCCATGAGACCAATTATAGTACATATCATGGTCTCTAAAATGCTTCAGTTATTCACAAATTGTTGGTTGGTATTGCAGGGCCTTTAAAAAAGAGTAAAGGCTTTGGAACCATTTGGGTCCTGCTATTTCCTGGTGTGTGAATTTCCCAAGTTACTGAATCAATCTGAACTTTAGCTTTGTCACTGTAAAACATTTCCTGTGAGGACTAATGACAAGAAAAACAAAAACCAAACTAACGAAAACCAGCACCACACACACACACACACACACAGTGGTCTTCAAAAATAGAAGAAAAGAAATCCACTAGTTTACAATTTCTATTTCTATTTCTTCAAAACTCTTTCTTCCCTATGCATGATCCCATTTGGTCCCTTGGAGGAGGGGAGAGATAACTGTCCATCTTTATGACTTATGTCTGCCCAGAGTCATGGATGGTTTTTGCAGAAGCATAACACCTTTTGTCTTTTGGGGTAAATAAATCATTCAGCTTCCTTCTCTGACCCAAATCCCTGGCTTCACCTTCTCTGACCCCTGTGTCATCAGAATTTGGCACACAAGGAAACTTCTATGGTTTAGAAGCTTAGCAGGAAATCAATAGACTGGGGTGTCATCAGAGAAGAGGCCTGCACGGAGGTGGGGAGACCCAACACCTGTGACAAAAAGTGGAAGGGGCTGTGAACTAGGTCAGTGGTCACCACCTTCAGTACCTATGGGGTATCTCAGGAAGGGAGGTTCAGGATTTAAGAGAAAAAACAGGATGAATGAGTGGAGGATTCAAGGAAATTAATGTAATTGAATTCAGCATGAAAAACCCTCTAACCCTCTGAGAGCCGGTGGTGGACTGGGCTGTCCTGGGAAACAGGGTCTGCCCTTCCCTGGATGAACTTCACCCAGGGCTTGTGAGCTTGACAGGGACATCATTGCACCATCAGCCTCTGTAAGGTGCCCTGTTTCTGAGCTTAGGCCTCCCGTCCATAGCATGGGGACAGTGGTAATGTCTTAGAACCCCCTGTGTGGATGTTGGGAGGCCACCTGGCACTTAGGAGAGCTACATGGACGACCCTCCCTTCCTTAGTCCTCAGTGACATCCTCCCCATCACTACATCATTCCTCCTAGTCCTCATCAGTGGCAGACAGGGCCAGCAGCCAGCATCCTGACTTGGCAAGTCCTCTCCTCTTCAGGTGCTGGACCGTGCCCGAGTGAGGAAGCCTGTCAATGTGCAGATGCTCTTCTCCAACCCCCTGGATGAACCCGTGAAGGACTGTGTGCTGATGGTGGAGGGCAGCGGCCTGCTGCGGGGCAACCTCAAGATTGAGTGAGTCCCTAGCCTGGGTGGCCAATGTGGGAATGGCAGGAAGGGGACAGGAGGGCCTGCCTGGAGCTACTGGGCAGGGCAGACAGAGTTTCCACTGGTCTTGGGGTCTTCACTCTTTTGGGAGTCTTGGAACTCAAGAATATGCATTTGCACTTGGTTTGGGGGTTCACTAAACCTGAACTCATGGGAGGTCCTGGGCTCCAGAACTAAGAGCTGACCCCTCAGGGCTTAGCATGTTTGGGAGGCTATAAGAAATTCCCCTCCTCACTGAAGGTCACGGGCCTGGAGGGACTAGGTGATACAGGCAGCTGAAGAAGTGGTGATCTTGCCTACCCTCACCAGAGTGGGAGTGGGGCCACATAAGTCAGTGCAGCCTGAGCTCTGTATATCTTACAACACTGATTCATGCTCTTCTTCCTCAGGGTGCCAGCCCTGCGCCCCAAGGAGCGGTCCCGGGTCCGTTTTGAGATCCTGCCCACCCGGAGTGGCACCAAGCAGCTGCTTGCAGACTTCTCCTGCAACAAGTTCCCAGCGATCAAGGCTATGCTGTCCATCGACGTGGTCGAGTGAAGGGCCCTGGTGGCCCCCCATACAAACTTGGGTACCACAGAGCAGGAAGGGCTTGCCAGTGGAGTAAGACTCCTGGCTGCCCATGCTGCCCAGCCTGGGAAGCCCAGTCTGTCCTAAAGGCTGCCAGATGTGGACCTCCAGCACACACCCCCACCTCTTCTCACTCCCAGTCTGAGGCCTGCAACTTGATCACTTTTGCATGTTCCCTGGCCGCTGCCCCCCTGAGGCCACCTGCTTGGTGAGCCCCAAGGCCCTAGTCATCCCTTGAACCCATCAAAGCTTCAGGATGGAACAGCACCTGACCCAAGGACTCTCCAAATGGATATAGGGGAGAAGGTGGTCTAGACTATTTGCTGGTCCCCAGACTTCAGTTGGGGCATTCCTGCTCCTCCCTCAGGTCACTGTGAAGGGAAGGGAATGGTTAATCATCTATTCTGGTATTCATATCCTTACACTCAAATAAACAAGTGCCATCACGTAGCACTATTCTTCCAGACTACTATTTTACTTAAGGTGGTGGAGAAGAGGGGCCAGAGTCATCCACCTGGAGAAGGGATGGCCTTAGGGGGCTTTGTCTTCTGTGTGCCAATGCCCATAGAGAGTGGACCCAGTTCTGCATGCATGCTACCAAGTACAAAAATAAGGACACCTTACAAGCCAATAGAAATTTTTATAGAATGTTTATAGAAAATTTACTAATATGGTGTCCAAAAATGAACAAGGCTGTATGAGGGAGGCTCATCATGCTAAGCTCAAGCTCTATGTGTTGGGAAAATTTTTTAGGTCCTTTCAAAAGTATGAAAGAGTGTATTTGAGAAGACTTCCAAGTATTTACTGAAACTCTTTGCCAGAGCAGACAGCCCCAATCTCTGCTCACACTGGGCTTTCTCAAGCTGTATTGGTCCAATTTCCACTGCTATAACAATACACTTGAGGTTGGGTAATGTCCAAAGAATAAAAGTTTATTTAATTCACAGTTTTGAAGGCTGAAAGTCCAAATAAGAAAGTTAAGGTTTGGGGCAGATAGAAGAGTGTGTAGGCAGGATGTGCGACTTCAGCTAGCTACAGCACTGTCAACTCAGCTGGAATCTTCCATGCCTTCACATGTGCTCTGATGGTTCTTCAGTCTTTGCCCCTTAAAATAACCCCAAGCAGATCCAGTAGTTCCCCTGTCACTTGCACTGATGGATCTAGGTGGATACCCTCAGAGATTTGGGTTCCCTGGGTGCCTCTGTATGCCTAGGGCCCACAGACCTGGCTGAGTCCCTTTCTATTAAGGAAGAGTACTTGATCAAGGGGGCTGCAGCTTTAGCCTGAATGAGGAAGCGTTTCTTGTCTAGGCTGTTCTTTTCATGATACGAGATTTAGTACTCTGATGAGGACACCACAGCTGATGCAAACTTGCAGTTAAGTGGCTCCAAACATCAAGAAAACACGATAGCTTATGTTGAGTGAAATTGAAATGGCTGAATTATTGTGGGGGATGGTAAAAGAAGGAATTGAAAGGTTCAAGGAAGGAAGCATCCAAGAGCTGACATCTTATATGGGGCCAGAACATGCACACATCCACACCCACCAGAGGATTATTTTCCATTAGAGGGCCCAGTAGCCACACCACTATTCATCAAGGTCAAGAATGAGCCCATGACAGAGCAATCAGTATCATTAAAAAATACAGCAGTGGCTTCCTCTACATTTAAAACAAAATAATAGCAACATTGTACAAATAAAGTGTATGAAAAAACTAGTACAATAACCTGGAAGGGAAAAATTGAAATATATTGACATAAATTTCTTATATAACACAGAAAATGGCAAAATACTACCTGAAAATAGATTGTGAGAAGTTAAAGATATATACTATAAAACTAAAGCAATCACGCTGGCATACACATTCCCTGTTCTTTCTACTGCTGGCATACCCATCCCTTTTCCTCACTACTGAAGGCCTATGCATCCCTGTCCTCTCTTCTGTTCTCACTTCTAAAATCCAGTTATAATGAATAAGCTAAGAAAATGGATACAATGTAATACAATACAATGTAATTAAAGATACTCAATTAGTAGAAAATAGTGCAGAAAAAGAGAAAACAGGAGACAAAAAACAGACAACAGGTAAAATGTAAGTACCAATATGGCAGATTTAAACCCAACACATTAGCTGGGCATAGCAACACACATCTGTAATTCTAGTACTTGGGATGCTGAAGCAGGAGGATCACAAGTTTGAGACCAGCCTGGGCTACATAGCAAGTTTGAGGCTGACATGGTGTTATGGCCTGATGTCCCCCCAAAGTCTCATGCGGTTATAGATGGGGCTTTTTCAGAGGTAGCTGGATCTAGAGTATTTGATGCTGGGATTAAGGGTGTGTGGTTACTAAATTAGTCCACTGATCAGTTTGGGATCATTCTGGGCATATAGCCTAGATATAATACAAAAGGGACAGAAAGAAGCTGCTATTATCCCTTGTCGCTTCTGCCTTCTGCTTGTCATGGACTGTTTCTCCTCTGGGATGCCCCTCTGATATGCCACCCTGCCTTACAGCCATCCAACTATGAACAGAAACCTCTACAAACTATCAGCCAAAATAAACATTTTCTCCTTTAACGTTGGGTGTCAGGTATTTTGTCTCAGCAAAAAGAAAAGTAAGACACATGGGCTGCAAAACAAAATGCTTCCTCTAAATTAATTAATTAATCAATAATAAACCCAACATATCAATAATCACACGTTAAATGTAAATGACCTAAAAAAAAGAATTAAAAAGAACCTATTGTCAAAGTGGATTTTAAAAGCAAGATCCAAATATATGTTGCTACAAAAAAAATGCACTTCAAATACAAAGTTGAAATGGGTTAATTGTAAAAGGATGGAAAATTATATACCATACAAACAGTAGACAAAAGAAAGTTTCAGTGGCTATAAAAATATCAGAAAAGGTTCCACGTCTCCCAGCCCAGAGGAGGTGAACCGCACGGGTGCGAAGAGCATCACCCCCATCAAAATGAGAAGACATGTAAACAAGTCTCAAAACCAGACTTCCAGATCACCTACAGCAACCCCAAAGGGAAATGAGATGGAACACTCTGATACTC